GGCTTTGGGTCTCCACTCTGCACTCCCCCACTCATTCACTATGAAGATTTTTGTTCTGATGATGCCTGATACCTGACCCCTTTGACACCTCGTAATTGCACAGGCTGGTGTGCTTCTTCCATGTGGGTTTTGTTGCCTCTGAGCTAGATGGCCACTTGTTTACCTTCAAGCCTTTAAGACCCCAGATGCTATATCTTTGATAGCTGGGCACCATCAGCTTTCTTCACCACATTTACCTATTCACCTGCCTTGTCTTCAGCGGTTGTGTCGGGAAGGTGAGCATCATAGAATGCCAATGTAATAGAAGAAAGTATTCTTGCATTGAGAGAGTACTTGAGTGGAAGCCCAATGTCCTTCTGCTACCTTAATACTAAACCTATAAATATATGCACCTAGATCTATTTCCTCATCCTCATATATAAATATGTTTCCATATGTACATGCTTTTATTTAGACCTTATAAATGCCCTTTGCCTCTGAGCTCTTTCCTCTATTTCATTTGACTTTCCTCTTGTCCCAACTTTGTTCTAATAATTTCGCATCCCATGATGCTCACCTTTCCCACACAAGCGCTGAAGACAGAATGGGTGCATAGCAAATGTGGTGAAGAAAGCTGATGGTACCCAGCTATCCAAAGATATAGCACCTGGAGTGTTCAAAGCTTGAAAATACACAAGAGGCCATTTAGCTCAGAAGCAACAAAGCTCACATGAAAGTAGCACACCAGCCTGTGTGATCATAAGGTGTTGATAGGGATCAGGTATCAGGCATCAAAGACCCAGAACGAAGAAATCTTATCGATGTGAATAAAGGGGAGTGCACAGTGGAGACCCAAAGCCCATCTGTAGACAACTGAACATTCCCTTACTGAAGTGTCACAAGGAAGAGATGAGCCAGTCAGGGTGCAGTATAGCACTAATGAAACATACAATGTTCCTCTAGTTCTTTAATGCTTCCTCCCTGCCACTATCATGATCCCAATTCTACCTTACAAATCCTGCTAGACCAGAGCATGTACACGGGTACAGATAAGAGCTGGAAACACAGGGAATCCAGGATAGATAAACCGTCAGGGCCAACAATGACAATCATGATACCAGGAGGGTAGAGAGAAGGGGGGGGGGCAAGAAAGGGGGAACCTATCACAACGATCTGCATATACCCCCCTCCCAGGGGGATGGACAACAGAAAAGTGGGTGAAGGGAGACCTCGGTCAGTGTAAGACATGAAAAAGTAATAATAATTCATAAATGATCAAGGGTTCATGAGGGAGGAAGGGTGGGGGAAGGAAGGAAAAATGAGGAGCTGATACCAAAGACTCAAGTAGAAAGAAAATGTTTTGAAAATGATGATGGCAACAAATGTACCAATGTGCTTGACACCAGGGATGTATGTATGGATTGTGTTATGAGCTGTATGAGCTTCCAATAAGATGATTTAAGAAAAGAAATAGAAAACCTAATTTTAATGCCTCATTTTGCAAATATTTAACTGTGTGGTTATGAATTAGTGATATTACTTCTCTAAACTATCACTCGGCTGTCTGTAAAATGAGGATAGTAAAAGAGTAATTCTCATAGAATTTATGGGTTTCCAAAATGACACTGAATATGAGAGGAACTTGAATAAATCTGATGGGATGAATAAAATTATGACATGAAGCTGTCCACACTCTTCTGCTCTAAGGATTCTGTAAAAAAGCAGAGCAGATCCCAAGAACCCAATTCTGCTTTCTCTGGGTCCAGTGGTGAGTGCTCAGCTACTCATACATTATACCAACAGAAACAATTGTTAGCTAATGTGTTTTAACAAAAATACTACAAATGGGTTGCTTTCACAAACACAGATTTATTTTCTCATGGATTAGAAGGCTAGAAGTATGAATTCAGGATAATGTGTGGGCCTCGGGGATTATTTTTGTCTTTCTTGGACTTTTGTTCCTATGCAATCTTTATGTGCCTTCGCATCTCTCTTCCACCACCTCCGTTTCTCTGCTTGCTTGTTTAATCTCTTTTATACCTCAAAGGGATTAACTCAAGACACATCTTTCCACTAATCATGCCTCAGTGACATAGCAATGGCAACCTGTTCCCCAAAGGGATTACAACTATAGGCATAGAAGTAAGGATGTACAATGCATATTTTGGGCAGACAATTCAACCCATAAAAGGAGCTTAAGTATGTTGAAAAATAAGTGTAGATGGCTTTCAGTTAGTATAACGAGAGTAAACGATTGCTTACCAAAGATCAAGGAGAGGTAGAAGAAGTGATCAAACATGAAACTGTCTTCTTTTAAATTAATATAGAAAACCAAGAAAAATATACTATTTTGTATTATTTATAGCATGTTATATCATTTAGTTATATCATATTATTTTTATACTTTATGATAAAAACATAAACAAGAGCAACAATAACAACAAAAAGGAACAATTGCCAAAGAATTGATCCCAACTCCTGGCAATTCCGTGTATTCCAGAGTAACGTTCTACTTCACATGATTGTACAGTTTGACCCGGTGGAAGCAGATTACTAGACCTTTTTTCCTCTGGGTAAGTCAAACCACCAACATTTTGATTAAGAGTTGCTCTCTTAACTATTGGCACCACCTAGGGACACGTAGAATAGTGCCTTCCTTTTTTAGATCCTTTACGATCTTGAATAGGTCCATTTGCTATGTTTTAACATGGAACACTTCCCCAGAATCCTAACTCTTCTTCCACCCCTTTCCTCATTTCCATCAGAAACCAGACTGCTGCAATGTACAAACACCTCAAACCTTGTACAGTATAGTGGAATAAAGAGCTTATCCTTGATCCTTGGTAATCTGTTTGCCCCAGGGCTCAACCAAAGGAACAGTCACAAATCACAGTGTTACGACTTCCTCTTTACTGAGAAAACCAGTTTAGGAGATTACACCATTCATCTATGCTTATTATGTTGACCTATATAAAATTATCTCTTCTGAAAGGTACATCTTAAATTAAAACATCTGCTTTATCCAATATTAAATATAACGTCAGCATGATTTTGATCTCTCTTTATATAAGAGAGAGCAACATATTCATGGATAATTTCTTTTTTTTTTTCATGGATAATTTCTTACACACAGGCAGCGGTAATGCAAAACAGGACTTTCAGAAATCTTCCATATAAAGCTGATCTGGAAGGAGGGCAGAGGAGAGGAACCACAGTGAATTCACGAGGAACTTGCAGTGAATTTTCAATCTTCTTCATGTTGGACTTAGTGTGACTCATTTTTTTTTAAATGAGCAATTGCAAACTATCTATTTTGAGGCCCATTAAGTGTCAGGTTAGGAGGTGACAGGCTCCTCAGGACTGAAGGAGCTATTTCAGTCTGTCCGTGTAACTAAGCACAGTATTTAATAGCGGAAGCTCCTTGAT